GAAAATCGCGCGATTTTTGGCCGGTAGCGGCGAAAATCGCACGATTTTTGGCCGCTAGCGGCGAAATTCGCACGATTTTTGGCCGCTAGCGGCGAAAATCGCGCGATTTTTGGCCGCTAGCGGCGAAAATCGCGCGATTTTTGGCCGCTAGCGGCGAAAATCGCGCGATTTTTGCCCGCTAGTTGCGAAAATCGCACGGTTTTTGGCCGCTAGCGGCGAAAATCGCGCGATTTTTGCCGCTAGCGGCAAAAATCGGGCTATTTTTGGCCGCTAGCGGCGAAAATTGCGCGATTTTTGGCCGCTAGCGGCGAAATTCGCACGATTTTTGGCCGCTAGCGGCAAAAATAGCCCGATTTTTGGCCGCTAGCGGCGAAAATTGCGCGGTTTTTGGCCGCTAGCGGCGAAAATCGCGCGATTTTTGGCCGCTAGCGGCGAAAATCGCGCGATTTTTGCCCGCTAGCGGCGAAAATCGCACGGTTTTTTGGCCGCTAGCGGCGAAAATCGCGCGATTTTGGCCGCTAGCGGCCAAAAATCGGGCTAATTTTCGCCGCTAGCGGCCAAAATTTGCTACTTTCGTTTTTGGCCGGTAGCGGCGAAATTCGCACGATTTTTGGCCGCTAGCGGCGAAAATCGCGCGATTTTTGGCCGCTAGCGGCGAAAATCGCGCGATTTTGGCCGCTAGCAGCGAAAATTGCGCGATTTTTGGCCGCTAGCGGCGAAAATCGCGCGATTTTTGGCCGCTAGTGGCGAAAATCGCGCGATTTTTGGCCGGTAGCGGCAAAATTCGCCCGATTTTTGGCCGCTAGCGGCGAAAATCGCGCGATTTTTGGCCGCTAGCGGCGAAAATCGCGCGATTTTGGCCGCTAGCGGCCAAAATTCGCGCGATTTTTGGCCGCTAGCGGCGAAAATCGCGCGATTTTTGGCCGCTAGCGGCGAAAATCGCGCGATTTTTGGCCGCTAGCGGCGAAAATCGCACGATTTTTGGCCGCTAGCGGCGAAATTCGCACGATTTTTGGCCGCTAGCGGCGAAAATCGCGCGATTTTTGGCCGCTAGCGGCAAAAAATCGCGCGATTTTTGGCCGCTAGCGGCGAAAATCGCGCGATTTTTGGCCGCTAGCGGCGAAAATCGCGCGGTTTTTGGCCGCTAGCGGCGAAAATCGCCCGATTTTTGGCCGCTAGCGGCGAAAATTGCGCGATTTTTGGCCGCTAGCGGCGAAAATCGCGCGGTTTTTGGCCGCTAGCGGCGAAAATCGCGCGATTTTGGCCGCTAGCGGCCAAAAATCGGGCTATTTTTGGCCGCTAGCGGCGAAAATCGCGCGGTTTTTGGCCGCTAGCGGCGAAAATCGCACGATTTTTGGCCGCTAGCGGCGAAAATCGCGCGATTTTTGGCCGCTAGCGGCGAAAATCGCGCGATTTTTGCCGGCTAGCGGCGAAAATCGCCCGATTTTTGGCCGCTAGCGGCGAAAATTGCGCGATTTTTGGCCGCTAGCGGCGAAAATCGCACGGTTTTTGGCCGCTAGCGGCGAAAATCGTGCGATTTTTGGCCGCTAGCGGCCAAAAATCGCGCGATTTTTGGCCGCTAGCGGCGAAAATCGCGCGATTTTTGCCGCCAGCTGCGAAAATCGCACGGTTTTTGGCCGCTAGCGGCGAAAATCGCGCGGTTTTTGGCCGGTAGCGGCGAAAATCGCGCGATTTTTGGCCGCTAGCGGCAAAAATCGCCGCGATTTTTGGCCGCTAGCGGCGAAAATCGCGCGGTTTTTGGCCGCTAGCGGCGAAAATCGCGCGATTTTTGGCCGCTAGCGGCGAAAATCGCGCGATTTTTGCCCGCTAGCTGCGAAAATCGCACGGTTTTTGGCCGCTAGCGGCGAAAATCGCGCGATTTTTGGCCGCTAGCGGCCAAAAATCGGGCGATTTTTGGCCGCTAGCGGCGAAATTCGCGCGATTTTTGGCCGCTAGCGGCGAAAATCGCACGATTTTTGGCCGCTAGCGGCGAAAATCGCACGATTTTTGGCCGCTAGCGGCGAAAATCGCGCGATTTTTGGCCGCTAGCGGCGAAAATCGCACGATTTTTGGCCGCTAGCGGCGAAAATCGCGCGATTTTTGGCCGCTAGCGGCGAAAATCGCGCGATTTTTGGCCGCTAGCGGCGAAATTCGCACGATTTTTGGCCGCTAGCGGCGAAAATCGCGCGATTTTTGGCCGCTAGCGGCGAAAATCGCGCGATTTTTGGCCGCTAGCGGCGAAAATCGCGCGATTTTTGGCCGCTAGCGGCGAAAATCGCGCGATTTTTGGCCGCTAGCGGCCAAAAATCGGGCTATTTTTGGCCGCTAGCGGCGAAAATAACGCGGTTTTTGGCCGGTAGCGGCGAAAATCGCGCGATTTTGGCCGGTAGCGGCGAAAATCGCACGATTTTTGGCCGCTAGCGGCAAAATTCGCGCGATTTTTGGCCGCTAGCAGCGAAAATCGCGCGATTTTTGGCCGCTAGCGGCAAAAATCGCCCGATTTTTGGCCGCTAGCGGCGAAAAATCGCGCGATTTTCGCCGCTAGCCGCCAGTTGCGAAAATCGCACGATTTTTGGCCGCTAGCGGCGAAAATCGCGCGATTTTTGCCGCTAGCGGCAAAAATCGGGCGATTTTTGCCGCTAGCGGCGAAAATTCGCGCGATTTTTGGCCGCTAGCGGCGAAAATCGCGCGATTTTTGGCCGCTAGCGGCGAAAATCGCCCGATTTTTGGCCGCTAGCGGCGAAAATCGCGCGATTTTTGGCCGCTAGCGGCGAAAATCGCGCGATTTTTGGCCGCTAGCGGCGAAAATCGCGCGATTTTTGCCGCTAGCTGCGAAAATCGCACGGTTTTTTGCCGCTAGCGGCGAAAATCGCGCGATTTTTGGCCGCTAGCGGCAAAAATCGCGCGATTTTTGGCCGCTAGCGGCGAAAATCGCGCGATTTTTGGCCGCTAGCGGCGAAAATCGCGCGATTTTTGGCCGCTAGCGGCGAAAATCGCGCGATTTTTGGCCGCTAGCGGCGAAAATCGCGCGATTTTTGGCCGCTAGCGGCGAAAATCGCGCGATTTTTGGCCGCTAGCGGCGAAAATCGCGCGATTTTTGGCCGCTAGCGGCGAAAATCGCGCGATTTTTGGCCGCTAGCGGCGAAAATCGCGCGATTTTTGGCCGCTAGCGGCGAAAATCGCACGATTTTTGGCCGCTAGCGGCGAAAATCGCGCGATTTTTGGCCGCTAGCGGCGAAAATCGCCCGATTTTTGGCCGCTAGCGGCGAAAATCGCCCGATTTTTGGCCGCTAGCGGCGAAAATCGCGCGATTTTTGGCCGCTAGCGGCGAAAATCGCTCGGTTTTTGGCCGCTAGCGGCGAAAAATCGTGCGATTTTCGCCGCTAGCGGCCAAAAACCGCGCATTTTTGGCCACTAGCGGCAAAAATCGCCCGATTTTTGCCCGCTAGCGGCGAAAATCGCACGATTTTTGGCCGCTAGCGGCGAAAATCGTTCGATTTTGGCCGGTAGCGGCGAAAATAGCGCGATTTTGGCCGGTAGCGGCAAAAATAGCCCGATTTTTGGCCGCTAGCGGCGAAAATCGCGCGATTTTTGGCCGGTAGCGGCGAAAATCGCGCGATTTTGGCCGCTAGCGGCAAAAATAGCCCGATTTTTGGCCGCTAGTGCCGAAAATTGCGCTGTTTTTGGCCGCTAGCGGCGAAATATTGCGCGATTTTCGCCGCTAGCGGCCAAAAATAGGGCTATTTTTACCGCTAGCGGCGAAAATTGCGCGGTTTTTGGCCGGTAGCGGCGAAATTCGCACGATTTTTGGCCGTTAGCGTCGAAATACGGACGATTTTTGGCCGCTAGCAGCGAAATTCGCACGATTTTTGGCCGCTAGCAGCGAAATTCGCACGATTTTTTGCCGCTAGGGGCGAAAATCGTCGATTTTTGGCCGCTAGCGGCAAAAAAAGCCCGATTTTTGGCCGGTAGCGGCGAAAATTGCGCGGTTTTTGGCCGCTAGCGGCGAAAATCGCGCGGTTTTTGGCCGCTAGCGGCGAAAATCGCGCGATTTTTGCCCGCCAGCTGCGAAAATCGCACGGTTTTTGGCCGGTAGCGGCGAAAATCGCGCGATTTTTGCCGCTAGCGGCCAAAAATCGGGCTATTTATAGCAAGTTGTAACAACGTTCTAATACGTCATAAACACGTTAAGCCAAGATGTAACAACTTTATTACAAGTTGTAACAAGCGGAAAATAGAGACAGTTTCGGTTTGTGTTTCCAGGGTTGTGTCTCACTGTTGCTATTATTGTTACTGGTAGCTGGCTTTGCAATATTGTTGCTAGGTACGACGACATGTTTGTTGGCAATTAGCATACATGGCTGGTATGTTTTGTGCGAGTTAATCTGTATGCCTCCGGTATGACAAGCATTAGTTTTGTTATGTTTGTGTATAGTAACGTGTCAGTGTATAGAATGGAGTATATTCCTTGAGTGTTTGTGCATGGTGTAGATAATTGTGGACAGGTGAGGGGGAAATGGTGCGTTACAGATGCAACACTTGACTGCTACAATATGTTATCCAAATACATCCAAACACTTGTCATACACGTTCGTTGTCGTATGCAATGTATTTGTGCCTGACCGTATGTATGCTGGTATAAGAAAAGGTTAATCTTAGACGCTTTTTGTTTGTTATTTGGTTGAGGTAAGCAGCAACACTTAGGGTGGGGGGGGGGTGTGACATAATGTGCAATATATGAAATTGGGAAAAGTGTAACCAAGTGATGTGTTTTGTGAATAGAATAGTAAATAGATCGCTGCATTATGTAAGCATAACATAAAGATGAAAGTACAAAACACTTGGCAATACAGTAGTGAGAAAGTATGAAAAAATGTCTTAATAAAAAATAATGTTAGGAAGGAAAATGTAAATGGGTTTAGTACTTGGTGAAAATGAGTAAGTCTGCCCTTGTAAATTGTCTTGGCTGCAGTAACTTGACGTTTTCTTTTGGTGTGCAGGTTCTCAGTTGAAGAGCGGAGCATCAGCGAGCAGCAGCCGCTCAACCTCGCCAGCCAATGGCAGTAGCTCCTTCATCCCGCAGCCAAGGAGCCATGGCGGAAGAGCATCTCTTAACGAGAAACATTCAAAGTAAGTAATGTTTTAAAATGTTGTTGTTGTGGTTAATAATAATAGGACCTCTTCACCCTGGAGGTGTACATTGCGTAAAAACAGTATTACCTAGAATAAAGGAGATTAGTGACGTGACATTGTACGTGGACCTGGTAGTTAGGTCAAAGGTCATACAGGTCCAGTAGTAAGCTAGGTAGTTTAGGTCAAAGGTCAGGCAAAAGGCACAGTTGACACTGGTCTTCAACAGATGCCAGTATCGATGAAAGGTCCCCTAATGTTAGGGGGGAAAAGTTACTTTAACTAGTATAACTATTAGATATTTCACTTTTACCCCATGCTAAGATAGGAGGTAAAGGTGGGAGGGTTTCCCAAGGTGGCGTTAAGGTAAATCCTCAGGTAGTTCTTAGCGTAAAGTAGTTTGAGTAACATTGACATAGTATGCTAATGAGTTTTAGGCTGAAATATGACAATAGTTGTAGTATTTCGAAGTTTATAGTCGAGATGTCAGCCGTAGCTTCACAGGAGATTGTGGAAATAGTCGATGAAAAAAGTTATTTAATAGCAAATAGAAAAAAAAATGAGTTCTGTGGTATCCCGCCAAGTAACGTAATGTGGTGAACAAATTCGAAAGCTGTAATAGTCAGGTAAAGTAGGAAAAAAAAAGGTATTTGGTACAAGTTACATAGATGGTGAGTTACAAAGAATGTTAGAAATATAGATAGAGGTATATAGATAAGGGACTATCTATATTTCTAACATTAACATACAATACGTTAAGGGACTAATACGCACAGCTTTTCGGGCAAGTAGAAACAGATACCGAGAACACTGGGCGTTTACATGATGGTTAAAAAGATATCTTTAGAGGGAGCCTAATACTGAATGTGATAACAAACGTGGACATGTTACAGTAATGTATAACGTTTAGGACAAGTGGTTGTTTCGATGCATGACTGGTAAACGAAGTGGTGCACCGAGGAGGCTGTGAAAGTGTTGTGGTAGGTAAGAAACTATATACATGAAACAAATAAAACTTATAAGTTTTTTATGCATATATAGTTTCATCCCTAACATCCATTTACCTCTATACCATACCTTGAAGTTACCTTGAGGTGCTTTCGGGGCCTAGCGTCCCCGCGGCCCGGTCGTCGACCAGGCCTCCTGGTTGCTGGACTGATCAACCAGGCTGTTCGACGCGGCTGCTCGCAGCTTGACGTATGAGTCACAGCCTGGTTGATCAGGTATCCTTTGGAGGATCTACACGATCATTCCAACATTATTTTAATCACGTCCCTCTTAACACTTCCTAGGTACCCTTTAACTTTATACTTTTCACATTTTAAACTCATACTGTTTTGTAGATTCCAAATCTCATATTCAACTTAGTTTCTAAACCTTCTATTGTATCTCATTTCTAATATGCACTCCTTCGTACAACAAAAATCCATTTCATTCCCTTCATATATGTCCTCACAATTCACTAACTACTCTTTATACCCATTTATCCCCCATTATTCATATCCACTTACGTTGCAACAACATTGCAAACATGATAAGCAGCCTCTGCATAACCCTACATGCAATTGACGAGTAGGAAATATTTAACTACTATTAACCACCAATATCATGTATATAGTCTACACAAATGTAGATCTTTCATTATTCTTCCTGCTACTTTCTTCTATCCGGCTTCCTAATTACTAGTTCATTGCCAATATTTCCCAAACCCGTTACTTCCTATTACATTTCTTTACGTCTACCTTACAAAACCATTTTAATATCCTAAATTATGATCCACTTATTCACAACTTTCCTACTTCGTTCTATCAAGCGTACACTTAATGAATGTTAATAATCATTCTTATTATCACTCAGTCATAGCATCCACGTTCATAATTTACTAAACACTTAATTTAGTCGTCCACAATTATGACTCTCCGCCTCACTCACGCCTTAAACTTCATATAAAGACAGTCTTACCGGAGTACCTCACCATTTGGTCACCACTTGGTCCGGGAGACATCTCCCGTCACGCAGGGTGCAGTCGCGCCTCCACAGATCTCCAGTATCAGCTCTTGATACTGGTAATGGCTCAAAAGGGCCACCACTTACGGGCTATTCATACCCGTGCCACCTTTTGGGTGGCTTAATCTTTATCAATCAATCAATCAGTACCTGCTTCTATGGGCTGCGATCCCAGACTGACCTTGCCTTGATGACCAGACTTGACCTCGCCTCGGTCCCGTCTACTCCGTCTCGCTGATTGGTCGTTTCATTTCCCGCCAATTGTCATAAAGACCAATCCTACGCCCAGACAACACTCAAACCACCGCCCGCCTCGTCTCAAGGTCATCCACGGCCGCCTGCAAACAGTTTAACATTTAGTTCATCACGGCTGCAACGATTTTAATCTCAATATATCAATATAAACAAATCCACAAGGGCCGTGACGAGGATTCGAACCTGCGTCCGGGAGCATCCCAGACACTGCCTTAATTGACTGAGCTACGACAGGGTAAAAAGAGTTGAAACCGAAGTTCTACTGAACTTCGTTTTTCATCATTTGATGATAAACATTCACGTTAGTGTGATCTCTGTGTGTAATATCAATATAGTTCTATTTAGACTTTGTGTAATGGCTAAGATCTTCTTTGGTAATCCCTTACCCATTACCACCGATTGGGTGACATTCTCCCAACCAATCTTACTTTCACATTAACATATCCGCCCTATTCCTTCTTTCCTCAACTTTTGTCTACTCTACTTCCCTCACTCATTCTTCGTAACTCACGAACGAGCCTTGTCATATTTTTTGCATTTTAATATTTTCCACCTATACTAATTATTTGGACATTTTTGTCGGGCTCAAACTACCACCACCTTTCATGCTTTCATTTCATTATCCACTTTCAAAACCTCCCACATCATTCCTCAGTCATAGCACACACTTGTTTGATTTTATTAAACAATTTATACGTCCCCAACCGCTACAAGATTTATCTGTAGTAACCTTATCCATGACTTTTTTACGGTTCTAAAGCTTGTTACTCTTACATACATACATACATACATACATACATTCCTTAATGATCTGACAAAGTGCATCTGTTTCGTAAATGCACAATCGAGTTTATGACCTCATGATTGTTAACCCCCTAATTGCTATCATTATGATTGGCTAGCAACAATGTCTAAGAGTCTCCCAGAAATATGCAACTCGCCCCACGGAGCAACACTCATGCAATGCAATATTTACAAAACAAAGCAATGTAGCTGTATGAAAAGCACATGTCTGACGACCTAATAACGTTCAGGGAGCTTTTATATGTCCGTCTACACACCACTCAAACCTTCTACACGTGTGTGTATATGTGTGTGTGTGTGTGTGTGTACTCACCTAGTTGTACTCACCTAGTTGTGTTTGCGGGGGTTGAGCTCTGGCTCTTTGGTCCCGCCTCTCAACCGTCAATCAACAGGTGTACAGATTCCTGAGCCTATCGGGCTCTGTCATATCTACACTTGAAACTGTGTATGGAGTGAGCCTCCACCACATCACCCCCTAATGCATTCCATTTGTCAACCACTCTGACACTAAAAAAGTTCTTTCTAATATCTCTGTGGCTCATTTGGGCACTCAGTTTCCACCTGTGTCCCCTTGTGTTAAATAGACTGTCTTTATCTACCCTATCAATCCCCTTCAGAATCTTGAATGTGGTGATCATGTCCCCCCTAACTCTTCTGTCTTCCAGCGAAGTGAGGTTTAATTCCCGTAGTCTCTCCTCGTAGCTCATACCTCTCAGCTCGGGTACTAGTCTGGTGGCAAACCTTTGAACCTTTTCCAGTTTAGTCTTATCCTTGACTAGATATGGACTCCATGCTGGGGCTGCATACTCCAGGATTGGCCTGACATATGTGGTATACAAAGTTCTGAATGATTCTTTACACAAGTTTCTGAATGCCGTTCGTATGTTGGCCAGCCTGGCATATGCCGCTGATGTTATCCGCTTGATATGTGCTGCAGGAGACAGGTCTGGCGTGATATCAACCCCCAAGTCTTTTTCCTGCTCTGACTCCTGAAGAATTTCCTCTCCCAGATGATACCTTGTATCTGGCCTCCTGCTCCCTACACCTATCTTCATTACATTACATTTGGTTGGGTTAAACTCTAACAACCATTTGTTCGACCATTCCTTCAGCTTGTCTAGGTCTTCTTGAAGCCTCAAACAGTCCTCTTCTGTTTTAATCCTTCTCATAATTTTAGCATCGTCCGCAAACATTGAGAGAAATGAATCGATACCCTCCGGGAGATCATTTACATATATCAGAAACAAGATAGGACCGAGTACAGAGCCCTGTGGGACTCCACTGGTGACTTCACGCCAATCGGAGGTCTCACCCCTCACCGTAACTCTCTGCTTCCTATTGCTTAGATACTCCCTTATCCACTGGAGCACCTTACCAGCTACACCTGCCTGTCTCTCCAGCTTATGTACCAGCCTCTTATGCGGTACTGTGTCAAAGGCTTTCCGACAATCCAAGAAAATGCAGTCCGCCCAGCCCTCTCTTTCTTGCTTAATCTGTGTCACCTGATCGTAGAATTCTATCAAGCCTGTAAGGCAAGATTTACCCTCCCTGAATCCATGTTGGCGATTTGTCACGAAGTCCCTTCTCTCCAGATGTGTTACCAGGTTTTTTCTCACGATCTTCTCCATCACCTTGCATGGTATACAAGTCAAGGACACTGGCCTGTAGTTCAGTGCCTCTTGTCTGTCGCCCTTTTTGTATATTGGGACCACATTCGCCGTCTTCCATATTTCTGGTAGGTCTCCCGTCTCTAGTGATTTACTATACACTATGGAGAGTGGCAAGCAAAGTGCCTCTGCACACTCTTTCAGTACCCATGGTGAGATCCCATCTGGACCAACCGCCTTTCTAACATCCAGATCCAGCAGGTGTCTCTTGACCTCCTCTCTCGTAATTTCGAACTCCTCCAAGGCCGCCTGGTTTACCTCCCTTTC